AATAGACAGAGAGAGAAAGAGAGAATTCTCTATACAGACCGTTGGAGCAGACGACTGTGGAATGACACGAGATGTCAATCAGTGTTCGGGTTGCAGGATGAGTAGCTGTTGCTTATGGTAGTTGTTGCTTATGGTAGGTGACCATTCCTGCAGACCAGACAGCACCGATTCAGGTGCGGACTGTGGAAGCATCGCATCCAATTCTCGCAGTTGCAGTTGCTGCATCGAATGGCACGACATAGATAGATATCGCAGGCAACATGGCTCCCACAGGCAAGGAACACAGAGGCACATCAGCCGCAATTGTAGAGGCATTGCTGTTCGAGCACCTGTCTACAAATTGGACATGACATGTCAGGGTGCCAGACGTGAGTGCAATATTGATTGTCATCAAACGTATGAAAACAGAAAGATGCACGGGTTGAGCCTTCATAATCCTCATGACACAATGCATGCAGCCCACATGCAAGCTGAACGACATTGAGCAAGTGTTTTGGGTTTCCTCTGCATTGATTCCTTCTCTTTAGACCAACGACGACGACTGTGGCAAGAGGGGGTCATCCAAAACAAGGGTGTCTAGCTTCTGCAGAATTTGTTCTGCAACAGTTTGTCCTGGTGGTGTTAGCCCTTCAGCACAGTGCTCTATAAGCGACTCATGTGGTTCTCTATTTTCCTGCTCAGGCTGTTGAGTTTGTTGTTCGCCGGGCAAGAAAAAGGGAGATCTGATAGCGTTTGCAGTAATTGTATGCCCAACTATGCTTGTGGGGCATGCTATGAGAGGATGTGGTGGATGATGGCATTGTGGATAGTCCACGCAGTAGAGGCACATGCTTTCTATGACTGCTTCCTGGAAACATTGACGACACATGGCATGCTGCTGACATGTCAACAGGAAGGCAGGTTGACGTTCGCAACTATTTAAGCATGGCAGATTAAGGCCACGACGGCAAATTGGCCAGGCGATTAGGGGTCGCAGTTTTCGCGACAGAGGCTGGCAGTGACCATCCCTTCATAGTGTTCAGAGCAGAGACTATGCACTGTGCCTGTCTCTTATACACATCTAGATGTGTATAAGAGACAGGGAAAGTCGCCGGACAGAGGTCGGGGGAGGGGGGTCAGCGGAGGGAGTCGGGATCGACGGAGAGAGGTGGGGATCGGCGGAGGGAAGCCGGGATCGGG